GTGTCAGGATCCTGAACTCGACCATCTCATCATGAATACACTGATATGTATTTGAATAACCCACAAGCAAGGCAAAGCAATGCAGGAAATTCAACAAGATGTAACTCACAAAGTTCCTGACTTATTTTTAATGGGGAGGGTCTTATGGGTGTACAGAGGGGACATGGCCCTGCAACTATGTGAGTTTACAGAGATCGGCAATGAAATTCTGTGCATCTCCAGGCCTCATGTAGAGTACCAGGCCTCTGCACTATTCCCCATTCCCTCAATGTGAAATCTGGAAACACAGCTCCCTCAGATTTTTGCTATTTGTATTGCAGTAGCATGTAGGAGCTCCAGTCATGGATCAGAACCTATTGTGCAGATGTCATTAGGTCAGGTACCATCTGTATATAGCTGAGCCATATCAATGTTCATACACAAGGATCCATACACCAGGCTCCCCTAACCTAAGATGCCACTCTTCTCTCTCAAAAGAGCTTCCGAAAGGGTTGAAAAAAATAATGTCACATTGGCGCCCACCTTCCTCTGACAGATTTAGGGCCAATGGAATAGATTTTTATCTGCTTTCACCTCCACTGCATTGCACACAAGTGACTCCAAAACCTTCTTTAAAACAGCTTTTGTTAAGAGTGAGGGCCAGCATTTAGAAATGTAGTTGTCTAAAGTTAGACACCTAAATAAAATACTTGATTTTCAGCAATGCCAAGAATCTACAGCTCACACTGAAGTCAATAGGAGCAGAGGATGTTTAGTATATCTGAAAAAATCAGGCCACTGATTTAGGTACCTAAATATGGATATAGGTTTCTAGCTTCGTGCATCCAAATTTCAAAATTTGGGCCTAGATCTTCTTCAAATGTGATTGGCTAGGAACAGCACAACAACAACTTAAAGTCACTTCACCATATACAGATTTACAGAAAAAGTTGTACCCAGAATCCAGTTCAGGTTCTTCTTTTTCAATGAACTGACACATAAGAAGAGGCCTTTGACTTCAACAAGGACTTCATTTCACCCTCTGTTTTAATCTAGTACAATAAATCAGGTAAAGTCTAATAATAGCTGGTACAGAGAAAAATATACTTGAAAGCAATACTAATCAGATTAAAAATCAAAATTTTCTGAAAAATAAATTCTCGGTTTATTAAGTTAATCCATTACTTTCTAATTTGTTTATAACATTTGCAAATGTTATGTATCTCACTATCCTAATCACTTGAATAATTTTCCCCCCTCAAATTGTTAGCTTCAACACCTCAGCTGATCTCAACTATCAGGACAGAATACAAACACAGAAGTGGGCTCCAAAGTAGCCGGAAAGCAAACAATAAAAAGGTATATAGGCCAAATCAGTACCTGTCAACACTAGCCATCAATATATTGATGCATTGAGAAGAAAACAATATCATCCCTAGTGACTTGCCTACACAGTGAAGAAGGGTGACAGAATAGGACATTGATCCATCTCATGAGAGCACCATCAATACGGAAGAGCAATCATCCAACAATACTTTCTCAGTCCTTTCAGACAATAAGGAACACAGCCAGTAAAGTACCATTCGGGAACACTGCCGGGGTCTATATCAATCTGCGTCAATCAAATGTCATGGTCAATGGTACAAAACAGATGCCATGAGCAGATCATTAACAGAGATGATTTGGGTGCTGCTGTTCCATATTCAGGTTTCAAGACAGGTTAAAATGGGAACTGGGTACGTGAGGATTCCGAGTACTACAGCACTGCTTTGCCACAGTCTTCTCAATAACCTTCCCCAAAATAGAAAGGTTAGAGAAAGGGCACTTAATGACAAGTTATCAACATCAATAGATGATTTCTTGCCCAAGGACATAACAATTGCTTGTTTAAGAGATCCTGGCACATTGCACTCCCTAGGATGCACAGATTATCTCTACCACTAATGGATCAATGTCTACCCATTAGATTTAACCAGCTATACAGGGCATGTAACCAAATTATAGGTCAGAGCCTGAAGTTCTTCAAACACTTCAAAATCTTCAGTAAGCAAAATTGACTGAAACTCAATACAGAGGAGGTCTCGTCTGCACTTTGCACCCACCTCCCTGACACAGAGCTGCTACCATGAAAGCAGTCTATCTGGTCTACACGTACTTAGCTACGTGTACATACATCAAGCATTTGCACACCTATCTTGAGTATGGGCAACAGTAGATTGGAAATCTAAATTTAAATACTTAGCTCCTTTTTTTAAAAAATACCTTAAAATAATAAAGTTATTTATTATGAACCCTATCTGTAATCCAATTTTTTTGGATCGCTGAATACCAGCAAGAAAAATGTGATGTGACTGACACTGCACTTGTCTGAATAAGATCAAACTTTAAGAGCACAAAGAAACATAGAAAGACAGAGCAATCACTGAATATTATAGTTAGTCATATAGAATGTTAGAGGTCACCTTTGACATTGTCTGGAAATTTTCCAAAATATTCTTTTTTACAAGCAAGTGGAATACTTCAAGTATTACTATAAAAGTATCATTTTTCCATAAGGGTTAATTTGATGTTGAAATGTATATTATGATTACATCTTTCCCACATAACATGAAGCACTCCTTTTCAGTCCATTGAGCAAACTCATTCTTATGCATTGTCTTTTAAGTTGGCATTTAATTTTAACAGCTACACAGTCGGTGAGAAGCAAAAAAAAAAAAATCTACATTCAAGAGAGCAGATTCTGAAACACTGTGGAATTAAAGTGTTTTTACCATAATTAGCATTCTGTCTGTATGCATCTATCTGTATGGTAAATGAGAGACATCTTAAAGTTATAAAAAAATTACATGGAGGATTGGAATCTGATATAATTATAACCCAACTGTATCTCTATTTCCTTGATTACAGTTTGAGTATTTTAATGTTATAACATATGGAAACTCCTAAAACTACTACCCCTTTCTCCTCCCAGACAGCTCACCTTCTCCTGCATGGTCCTCGTGTCCACCCCAACAGATCTTGTAATAAAATGCTTTGGCCCTATGGATATGATGAACTGCTCCACTGCCTTTACTCTTGGGATCACTTGCCTTGTTCCTTTGGGTTTCAAAATCTCTATCCTATGCTTACATCAAACCTCTCATTTATAATACTCAGACTTATATTGCCAGGCATCCAGTTTCCCCAGTACTTAACCCTGAGGCAGCAGAGGCTGATTTCACATTTTACTTTTAATTTAACATTGTTAAATCAAGAATAACTTCCGATTATATCTTTTAAACAAAACTTAAGAGTTAAAGAAAATTCCATGTTTGATAACCATGATGTCTTTTCCAAATCAGAAGCTATCCCAGGTAAAATCTTCATTAATCTGTAGTTATATCACTGTATCACTCATTTCAGCATGAAAACCCTTAAGGAATATTGTAATTTTTTAAAATCACAAACTGGCATTCTAAGCTGAAGTTCTCCTTTACAATAAACACCCCAAAGTATGGTATGCAAATAGACAACAACTTCAACTCTCTCTCTGTATCTCCATCAGATTTTAATCCTTACTCCTCATTTTATATTTGGAGCAGACACTATACTTGTACAGCTTGTACTTGTGAAGTATTGAAAAAGTGAACCACAGAGCATTGGTTTTATAACTGGTTTCATAAGCACATGACTCCAATCCTAAGCCTGATGCTTTATTACCACATTAAGCTTTGCACTTTCTATGTAAGTGTCATAAATGCCATGTCCTTAGCCTAAATGAATACTTTGGCTCAGTTTCCAATAAGGATGATAACCTAGAACATGGGGGCAAAGGCACAATGGCTAATGATCATGAGTGTATAGAAATGGAAATTACCACATTCAAGGCAGAAGCTAAATTCACAGAGTTTAATGCAGTCAAATTGTGGGTCAGAGGGGATGGGGAGCAGATAATCCCCCTCCCAGAATACTGAAAGAACTGGTACATGAAATTGCACGTCCGATGGCAAGGATTTTTAATAAATATATCAAATCAGAAGTAGTACTGTATGACTGGAGAATAGTAAACATAACACCTATATTTAAGAAAGGGAAAAAATGCAATCCGAGCAACTACAGACCAGTTAGTCTGACCACAATATGCAAGGACAAATTTTGAAGGAAAGAATAATTAAAGATATGGAGGTAAATGAAAAATGGGATAAGATGCAACCAACAGTCTGCCTAACCCTATATGATTCAGAGTAAGGTATTGATATTTTGTGATTACTTAAATTAATCTTTGTAATGGATGCATAAAATTGCATCAGAGATTCTGGTTATTCTCATGGCACTACAGAAGCAGAATTACAATTGTTCAGATGACCCTAACTGTTCATCTGCATACAAGGGGTCATATTGGGATGGCACAGACCAGCAAAGTGAGATGACACTTTTTCCCCTGCAGGCTACATTTTGTACTCTAGGCCCAAATCATAAAAGGTAATTAGGTGCCTAGTTCCCATTGACATTTTTTAACATTGAAAAATGACATTTTTTCCTCCAACCTCATTTTCAGAAACAGTTGAATTGTTTTGGCTGAAATTAAAAAAAAATCATTCTGAAGCAGACACCGAGCATAAAAACATTCATCTCACATTATTAACGTTTGGCAAACATTTGGGTAACAGAAAACAGGGTCTTATAATAGAAAGCGTCAGGCAACCTTAATAATAGGCAGTACTATAGCCCTGTGTATTGTATGCATTGCTCTTTTTTCTTAGATTAAAATTAGTGTAATTATTTTATCAATATACTATTACTACCATAAATAAGGTTACTTGAGTCACTAGCTATGCTGGGAGTGAAAACCATACATATTATGTCTGAACTAAATACAATAATTCAAGAAGTAATTCTCAATTAGCTAATGTAAAAACAATGTTTTAGGGATCTTTCCAGACCCAGACACTCGACACTCTACAAGCCACAGAGAACAAATATAATTTATCCCTAAACAGCACATCACTATTGGCTTTTTTTTGGAGAGGATTACTAACATTTGAAAGTGATCTGAAGGGTGTCTTGGCAATACAGCTCCAACTCCTGTTTTGGGCATCCCAGTCTCCCTGCAAAAGAAAAAATGATTTTCAGAAAATTAGCATAATCATAAGTAGTTCAATTTTTCAAACTTATTCTATGCAACCTGGTAGAAGCAAGGTTTGAATGGTCAACACTTAAAAAGAACCATCTCAGAGCTGTGAAAAACATTTGCATAGGTCATTAAACTGGCAAATAGCACATTTTTCCCAGATTCGCGGGGGAAAAAACTAGCTTTGCACTAATTTTTTTATATATATTTTTCACCTATGATTAAATGCAATTCCTTTTGCAATAGCAGAAGCTGGTGCAAATGTTAGCATAGAAATTATAGCTTGTATGTATGTTTGCCACTGCCATCTATGGGCTAGAATGTATACAGCCATCTCAAGTATTTATTAGATTGTAAGGGTCCTACTTTGTTAGCTGGAAAAGGACACATGACAGTTGGAGCCCACTTCTGGAACCCAACCTCAAAAGAGGGGATCCACAGCATGGAGAAATTTCAACTCAAAAGTTAATAAAACTTTAATTCTGGAGTAGATTTCCTGAGGTTTGGTGGGAGGATGTGTAACCCACACACCTTCTGTATGTAGTATTCTGTCCCATTTAGTGGCACTGAGACCACTTAGAGAGAGATTAATGAGTCTGCTTTACAGCCTTAGCTAAGGGCCACGTGGCTTTTAGCTCATGCAGTAGAAACTCATACAGTTAGCTCCAGAGGCCCCAGGTTCGAGCCCGCCCACCTGCCAACGACTGGGGTCTGTCGGTGTTACAGATGGAGTACATTCCTTCAGGCTCCATCCCACTCTCCTCTTATCCATGGATTGCCAATCCCACAAAGGACCCTCTACATGACAGGGGTCTGGTGCTGGCATGGGGAAGGGAAGACCTGGACATGGAGATTTCCCTTGGCATGTGGATGTGGGGGACAGGGTGGAAATGGTCTTATATTATCATTCTCTGTAGTGAAATTCCTATATGAATGGTCCAATACAAAATTCTATAGTGTACAAGATAAATATTAATTATACCTGTCAATAACACCATCTTCAAAATTATCTTCATTCAGCATGGACTTACGAATCTCTATTTCCCTATATCCTTTATTTGTATACGGTTGAGACAAATGATCCTGGTATGTGGTAATCCATGTCTGGAAAATAGCATAAAAGGACAAATACTGGGAAAGGGGAAAAAACAGTTTCAGTATATTGGCTATTTTCAGTCTGAGATACTGTACAATTGTTTGTTGCTTGTTAATTAATTATTATGATGGATGCTATACATCATAGCCCTATTTTGCTTTGCAAGTGTTGCACAATGTTTAGCTCTGGCTAGGAGGTCTAAAAATAGTGCTCTATACATAGGCAATAGCTAGGTTTAACCTCCTGGCAGGTCTCTTGCTGTAGGAAAAGTGCTATCTGTAAACTGTAAAAAGTGCCAATGGTGTAAACTCTCATATTCATAAGATGCAAGTATAATTTAACTCTGTTCAGAGCAAGGTCACAGAGCTTATAGTAGTGCTGGAAAAGGGCTGTACATTTTATTATTGAAATGCATCCTTTGTACAAGTATTCAAGAATATTCAAGACATAAATCCTCAACCTATTTTACTTCATGGGACCAACATTTTAATAAGTTTGCAAAGATCTTTTTTTTTCATTGTATAAATAGGGGAGAAGAGAGAGTACAAACTGGTCACATTTGCTCATCATTTTATTAAAATGGTCAAAAAAGCCTTGTTAAACAAAGACTTCTTCAATAAGGGACAAACTGACAGTCCCGTTAACTGCCCGTTAACTTTTTTCATTCTGATTTTTTCCTCGGAATGGCATTGTTATTGTTTTATATACTTTAAGAAAGCCCTCTCTTACATTTTACCAAATGAGATTTCATTCAAATCAGCTACATGAATAGGTGATCTTATAACAAACATAAAAAAGTAAGATACACCACCATATTTTTCTGCACTTTTATGAATAATGTCTAAAATCTCATCTTAATCAGCTCCCAGTAGTTCAATAAAAATACAGAGAAATTGTACTTGTATTCCCAGTTTCATTTGTAATTGGCTAAAACATAGGGAAAATGTTCAGTGATAATGCATTCTTTACATAGTGTTCAGTTGTATTGATATTTGCACGAACATCTATTAAATAAAATGACAGCATCTTAATTTAAATTTCAAGTTTATTTCTTTAAAATTCATTGTTTAATTCAACAGTTAGAAGTAATAATGCACACTATACAATTCTGCCTGGTCATCGCTATATTCAATCAGCAAACCAATGTCTGTTCAGCATTTGGGACTTTTTAACCTCATGTACCATACTATTTTGAAGTATGGTACCACAGTGAAATTGTTAATGGAAATGTATGCCTTGATAATGGCCTATCACATCTAAAATCAATACCTTGGCCTAGTCTCAGCATCATTAGTAGGGAAACAAACAGATTCCATTAAGATTATCACTGGAATACATACATCAGATGTTGCATATCTACCATGAAAAATACAACTTAGTTGTGATATGGAAGCAAAAGTAAAATATATTCTAACACTTAATACAGAGTCTTATAATACTTATTACGTTGTGCTTTCACACAGCCTTCATCAAGGGAGTGTTCCTCTCAACTGCACCTTCTATATAATGCTCTCTTTAGAGTCTCACATGATGAATTTAAGTGAAAAAACTTAGTAACTGTTAATTTTATTTCTTCAAGTTCTTCTATACCAGTGTGAACACTTCAGTTTCACTCCTCCCTGAACAGAAAACCCCTCCTCTTAGAGATACTGATTCCCTTTTTCATCTTCTAGGCAGCTCTTTCTTTAAAAGCCAAGTGTGCTGCATTTAGAAATTCCATACAGCCATAGCCATAGCTCCGTTTTCCTGCTGCAGGGGTAAATGGTACCTGTTTTTTCTGTTGGGGGGAAGAACCTTGCCTATAGCAAGTATCAGCCTCAGCTATTTAGGGACTGCTGTGCATAGTGCTAGATGAAAGAGTGGGGTTGGACTTATATTTCTGCCCAGATATGGAATATGAGAGGGAAGGCCAAACCCACACTACTCTGGAGACTTTTTTGGAAGCTGCCATGGAAGGAGTAGGTCATCAGGAGCTTGATGTGATGAGCATAGAAAGCATGCTTGAGAATTAGGAGAGGAAGGAGACATCCATATCCATGCTGTTCCAAATGCCAAGCCTATTTGACATCATTTCAGGGGAGAACTACAGTGGAGAAGGGGCGCTTGGGTGCTCATCATTAAAAGGAAAAGGGAGTAGCTGAGCCTATGTTGTCAGGAGATCCAAAGGGTCTCGACCATTTTCTGGATGGTGGTGCAAGAAACCTCCAGTATGAAACAGGAGAGACAGCAGTTGAAATCCTGGCTCCAATGAGGTCTGTGGAAGTTTTGTCAGTTGAAATCAATGGGGCAAGGATTTGGCCTGGAATATCTGAAGAGGGGAACTGGCTGGCTGAGGCCCCGGTATAATGATTCTTGCTAGCTGAGGCACTCTTCTGACAACCAAGTTGTCTCCTGGGAACTCCTCTATGCTGGGAGATTCAACACAATTAGTCAGAAGGACTTCCCGATGCTGGTCTGCATGAGGTCCCTGAACCCAAGTACTTCCTCCTGCCCCTAGACTTGGCCTCCAATTTCTTCACTATACGCTGTGTAGCCGTATCACCTGAATACACAGGGAATGCTGAGGAGAGCATCAGACCCACTAAGCCCAAGCCTTAGTAATCAACTAGAAGCTGAAGAAGCTGTTCCACCTGCTGGAGACAACTGAGAATTCTGTAATGGCCAGCTTCTTAAATGTGCAATGAGAATGTCATCAAAATCTCAAATATTCTGTCCCCATCTATTGACAAAGAATGCAGTCTAGCAGTATTTGTGTAGATGAATGCAGACAGAAGTATGTGTTATTACAACACTGGTAATTATAGCATAGTTTTGTTTAGTTGGGATCATAAGGTTGGCTGCTTTTTAAACTACAAGGAAGTGTTTCAATGGAAAACACCTTCCCCCCCGAAGGGTGAAATGTATTTTGGTTGCCATGGCACACACTTGGCACAGTTACCTCCACTGAGCACTGTGCTATCTCCAACTAAAACACCAACCTAATATATGTTAAAATAAATCTCTTATCCCACTGACAAAAAAGTATTTGTGCACCCCCTTGTGTTATAGAGAATTGCTCTACAACATTCATGTTTTTCTAATCTACAGTTATATACATTTAAGTTGTTCCCTTGTAGGAGGTGAAGAAATTACCACCTCTTGAACTACAGTGGAATTCATAAAGTCATATACAATGCAATTCACCATAAGATACTTTCTAGTACAGCTGGCAGAAAGAGGTTTAAAATAGTTTTTTGCTCTCTTCACTACCAAATCAAAACCTTGGATGGCTAGTAGTAAATCAAATTAAGAGTAAAAGAAAGACAGGTCTCCCCAAGGCAAAACACCCTATAAAACAGTCAGCATTCATAACTAAAAAAAAAAAAAGTCCAGTGCATATATATACTGCACACAAGTCTACAATAAGTGTTGTACCAAACTGTTTAGTTCATAACAATTTTCCACTGTTGTAGAAAAACTAGAAAAATAATCTCTGGTCGTGGTGGAATGTAACAGCAGTGTTTTTCCTTTTTAAAAATTACAGCACTTTTACTGGAATTTGATGAACAGGAAATGTGTGGTACATGGGAAGGCCTCCTCAAAATGAAAATAGTGCACCATTGCTATAAGTACTGTACTTCTGTAACTTTTCATGCCTCTCCACGGTATGGAAATTTAAATAATTCCATTGCAGATGAGGATTTTACTGATCCAATAGGATTGACAGGACCCAGTTCCAATGAAATCTCAGTCAGGCTTCCACATAATTTTTCCAGAGACTGCACAGTTTTGAATAAATGAAGAAGCTGGACACAAATAGGCTTGGTCATCACATTTTTACCATGTCTACTGTACTTATGAATATATTCCAGGGGTCAGCAACCTTTCAGAAGTTGTGTGCTGAGTCTTCATTTATTCACTCTAATTTAAAGTTTCGTGTGCCAGCAATACAATTTAACGTTTTTAGAAGGTCTCTTTCTATAAGTCTATAATTATATACAACAATAGTTTAGTTATGTAAGTAAATAAGGTTTTTAAAATGTTTAAGAAGCTTCATTTAAAATTCAATTAAAATGCAGAGCCCCCTGGACAGGTGGCCAGGACCCGGGCAGTGTGAGTGCCACTGAAAATCAGCTCGCGTGCTGCCTTCGGCACGCGTGCCATAGATTGCCTACTCCTGATATATTCTTTATTAATAGGCAAGTGTGATAAGATGTTTAATGATTCACGATGAAGGATAATACCATATTTAATTGACTCATATTTAGTATTTGGGAATGTCCAGGTTTAAATAGCATTAGTAGTAGGCATCCTTCAGTCTCGAGAGACCATGGGTATGCACCCCTGAGAGATAAAGAATTTTCTCAGTTGGTTTTATGGCAATTACGGCTGTGGCTGAAGAGACCCACTCGAGAGAGACAATCTCTGCCACATTTAAAAGTGATGTTTTGACCCTTTGTGCTCTGCCTTCTGCAAGCTCTTTTCTCCTTTGCTAAGCTGGACGGCTTCCTCTTATAACTCCGGAGACCTTTGTTAAACTCTTGTTTCCAAAGGCTGCAGTCTTAAGTGTGATTTTCCCAGTTGTCCACGTCCATGTCCATTTCTTTAAAGGTCTCGCTTGCACACATCCTTGAAATGCAATTTTGGGCATCCTTTGGGTCTTTTTCCAGATGCCAATTCACTGAAAAGAATGTCCTTTGGGATGCATCCATCATTTAATTCGGCACACATGCCCAAGCCAGCAGAAGCATCTCTGTTTGAGGAGAGTTTGCATGCTGGGTATGCTGGCCTGCTTGAGCACATCAGTGTTGATAACTCTGTCCCTCCAGAAGATTCCAAAGATTCAATGAAGGCAATGCATATGAAAGCGTTTGAGCCTCTTTTCCTGATGAGAGTAAGGTCCACGTCTTGCTCCCATACAAATGTATGCTGATAACACATGCACAATACACAGATCTTTGTGCGTTCTGTCAGTTTGTTCTTTTGCCATACTCTCTTGCTCAGTCTAGACATTGTTGTGGCAGCTTTTCCAATGCAGATGTTGAGTTCCATTTCAAGTGAAAGATTGACTGCGATAGTGGATCCCAGGTGTGTGAACGCGTTCACCACTTCAACTTCATAGTTGTTGATATTGCAGGAGAGTGCTTCCTCAACTCCTTGGCACATTATGTTCATCTTTTTTAGGCTTATGGTAAGCCCAAAGTTTTGGCAGGCTTTGGAAAAACTGTCCATAAGGTTTTGGAGATGAGTTTCTTTGTGGGTTATCACTGCTGTGTCATCAGCAAAGAGGAGGTGTTGGATAAGGGTCTCCCAAGTCTTGGTTTTAGATCTGAGTCATGCAAAATATAGGAATAGCAAGGAGAAGAAGATCACTGAGTTGGGGCAAGTACACAGCCTTGCTTAACTCTGCTATAAATTTGGAAAGCCTCAGAGACTGAGCCGTTGTATTGAATGGTGCCGTACATGTTTTCACGTAAGGATCGAATCATGCTTAAGGACTTTGGAGGGCATCCAATCTTTTCTAGAAATGCAAATAGTCAGCTTCTACTGACAAGGTCAAAAGTCTTTGTGAGATCAGTGAAGGCCACGTAAAGGGGCTTTTTTTGTTCTCTGCATTTCTCTTATAGTTGTCGCACTGAGAAGATCATGTCACCTTTTAGCTCTGAAACTGCACTGTGATTTGGGACAGACTCTGTCTGCAAGGGTCTGAAGTCTGTTCAGGACAACTCGGGCAAAGGTTTTTTCCATAATGCTAAGAAGGGAAATGCCATGATAGTTGTTACAGTCACTGCTGTCTCCCTTTTTTTTAATAGAGATTACTAATGTCGTCTCTCGTTTCTTGTGGTACTTCGCCTTCTTTCCAGCACAAGTAGAGCAAATCATGAAGATGTTGCAGTAGAATAGGTTTTCCGCATTTTATGACCTCTGAGGGTATTCAGTCTTTTCTGGGGGCCTTTCCACTGGGCAATCCATCTATGGCAAGGCTAAGCTCTTCGACAGTTGGTTCATCGTCAAGTTGGTTCCCAACAGGCAGGTTTTTGATGGCATTGATGGGATAAGATGATAACATAATCCTGATACCTAAAAGAGAATTCTCAGTAAAAGGTAACTTTTATGATTGCAATACATCAACAGCAAGTTACCCTGGGCCCAACTAACTGTTGCCCTGCACTTAGTGCACAGTGAGTGAAAAACAGTATCAATGGTTAGTATTTTGCACCCATTTTGCAGGGGTATAAATGATTGCCCCATGTGCAGGACAACAAAGAATCTGGCTCCCTCTACAAGAGAATTTTAAACTTATTATAGGCTTATTGCTACTTTTGAGATATATTTCTATGCTATTCTGCTGCTTTTTAGACATTATACCAATACTAAAATTTATATAAAAATTTAAGTGAAGATGACATAAGTAAATTCAAACATGTTATTACAACATAAAGATTGAGAATTTAAGGTCTGTTCCTGCTCTCGTTGAAGTCTATAGGAGTTTTGCCATTTATTTCAACATGAGCAGGATTGGATTTTTAAACACATAAAAGTCAGAAAAGAAAAATTATGGCTCCTTCCGTAACTGTAATTTGTTTCCACTGGTTATATTCCAAAACCTTTGCTTTTTTAAAAAAATTAGGATACTGACAACAATATAGATATCTACCATGCCATTGTAAAACCCAAGAATTTAAAACCCAAAGACGTTCTAAATTTCACTCACCCCAAATAACACAGACATATTATCAAGTACAAATAAATTAATATTTCATACCACCACCACAGCCTTGTAGTTGATTGTTATGATGTCATGTGATCAGCTACACATTCCACACTTCATGCTGGAGTTCTTGTATTGATATGCATCATTGCATATCTTGGATAACAAAATATGCAGTTTCAAAACACATCTTTTAATTTTGGAGTTTGATCTGTTAATGCAATCTGGGGTTCATCACTGTGAGTGTGCAGATTGAGAGACAGTAGATGCCAGGCTTGTGAGTGTAGGACTGAGAGGAGGATCTAAACCTGAAAGACTAACTCATAATAACAAAAATAAAATAATAAATAATAATAATAAACATGTTCTGAAGAAGAGGGTACTAACTACGCTAACTAGACTCCCGTCCTAGAAGTGGTGGTATGGTTGATTAAAGGTTTCTGGAGAAGGAAGCTCTAATAAAGTTATATCTAAGCATAGGATTTCATTAAAGAAATTTTTTTGTTTACTGCTGAAAGAAATTGATTTTAGTTTTATTTTGTCTGTGCCAGATCCTTAGCTGGTGTAGATGGGCATAGCTCCATTCCTGATTATTTTAACCAAACTAAACCCCTTTTAAGCCAACAGACATTCAGGTCTACATATTTTAAAGCAATATTTGCTGTATTATAATATATACTTCTGAAAATTTAGCTTCTTTTTATGCCTGCATGCATCCCATAATTTTGTTAGATTTGTAAATAAGCATTTTTTCATTTTTCTTACTCTGTTTTCCTTATTTTTAATTTAACAATAAGTAATCAGGAAGGGTACAAAAGCAGAAGGGTGGGAAAGAAGTCTAACATGACTGACTTTGAAAAACACTAAAAACATCTTAGAGGGAACCAGGAAGGTAGCCTTTAAACAAGGAAAAGAAATGTTAATTTAGTGATATGGAATTTAAATATTCTTTTATTAAGTTTGTCCAATAGGTCCATGCTGGAGGCCAATTCAACACATGCCTCCAAAACCAAAACCAGATGCAAGCCCTAATGATAAATACATAAACGATATTGAATAATTTGAGCTAAAACAAAGAAAAAATATTTACCCCATCCACAGTTCCGAATCTCGAGTAAGTAGATTGACATAAATTCTTTGAACCCAAAGGAACTTCATTTATATCATAATCTTTAGGTTCAGCCTCTCTGTTTTGGTGCCTTTAAAAAAAAGTTTATATTTGTGAGATGACAAATGTAATCATGATCTCTTGTTTTGAAATCAAAATTTCACTGGATATAGTGAAATTCTCCACATTTATGCATATCATGGGCTTCGCACTACTGTACCACCCATTCTTTTATGCTACTGTTATAATCACTAGTGCAGTTGCTGGTTGCAATAGTATCTTGTTGCACCTAGAGGTGAAGCGTGAGATTTACCACTGAAAATAATATATTTAATAGTAATACTAAATATAATTAAACAGAAAAAATTAAAGAAAAAATCTAACAGAAAGAAACTAGGAAAGCAATAGACATGTTGACTGAAATTTTACATCAACAAACCGATGGCATATCAGCTAACCTATCACTACCCCTTTTCCCCTTTGAAAAAAATGTTACAAGAATCCAAAATGAAATGAAAAAAGGATAATGTAATTTTAGGTCAAGGTATCTTTTGATAAAACAATTAACATTTAAATCAGAAAGTTTCTTTATTTAGTGAAATAAACACTATGCAAATTATACAAATAATCCTGCATTACATACTAATCTGTTTACACCAGGCAAGGAACTCAAGCTGCCTGCTGGTGAAAAGCATTCACTAGCTAAGGCAAAGCCAATGTCAGACAAGTATCCAACTCCCTCCTGCTCATGCCTTTGAAATAATTTATTAGCAAACAATTAAATCTGAGACTGAATTTCCTTATCTAGTCTAAATGGATTCTGTTTGCTCCCCTAAGACTGGTGAGTGTGATACATTAGAAGAGATTTTCAGTCACAAAGATAGACTGTTATGTGCCAAGCACTGTTGTCAAAAATCCATTTTTATTTACATAAGAGCACGTATAAAGGTTCAGCCAATACAGCACTCTATACAAAGAATTATTTCAGTTCTTCATGGTTACAAATAATGGAGAAAAATTTAATTTTTGTGTCAGGAACTAGCATTCAGAAGTATAAAACGTTCAATGGATACCTGTATTCAATAGATAATGTATTCAATAGATAATGTATTCATTACCTATTCCTAGAAAACTCTTCTAGATGGGGAAGGAATATAACTGCTAGTCTTCACCTTACTGTCATTTTAGCCACACAGAAAAGGATTATGCAGTGACACAACACTAACGAGACGCCTTTTGGATACATATAATCAATAGAACTGCTAAGGGATAACTGTAGAATACAAAAAGGCAACTTTGAACAGCAGCAGCAAAGTGCAAGAATGGATGAAAACCCTAAACATATCCCCCCCTCCCACCTTTCCTTCCCTGGTGAGAGAAATAGCTTACATTGGTGTGGGTGAAATCCTGATCCTATTGAAGTCAATGGGAGTTTTGCCATTGACTTAAACAAAGCCAGGAGTTCACTGTGTGCATGTGTGAGAGAATGTAGTTGATGTAAAGGAGCTTTAGTTCTCGATGTCATCTGTATATTGATGGCATTTTAAAATGTGTTCTTGCAGTTGCCCTCTCACTAGCTTGATATAGATGTTGAATAATGTGATGGAGAGAACTGAGGCCTGCGAGACTCGAAGGGCTTTAATGAGGAGGAACAGTTATCCCAAACCATCCTCTGAGTCCATCCATGCCTACACGGAGCAGCAATGCTCATTACAGGGATGTAATTTCTAAAGCGCATTAACATGCTGTGCACTAATTCTCTGTGTAGACACTTCTGGTGCACACTAAACATTCTCTCCCACACTTAAATATAGTGCTGTTTCAAACAGAACTATGTTTAAGTGCATTAGGAAACTTTTAGTGTGCAACAGCAGGGTCTACATGGACTAATTAGTGTGCAACATCTTAGTACGTTTTAGAAATCACACCCCTGTAGTGCACATTGCTGCTCCACGTAGACAAGCCCTATGTGTTTTTACAGGGCCTACCATGATGGGATCCTGAACCTGATTGGGGCCTGCAGGCACTGCTATAACATTAAAAACAATTATACAAATCATGGCAAGATATTTTGGGTGGGAAATTAATTTTGCTTACAGCTTTTAAAATAATCTCTCTATATGCAAAAGAGCTTTAAAGACAGTAGGAAAGTATTCCTGTCCAACAAATGTTTATTTAATTGGAAAAAATGTCACTCCCTACATTCTTATGGGAGTACAGTACAGTATTCTATTTGAATGTTTCTCTCCCTTTTAATGGCTATGGACTCACGAGTTGTTTTCAAGCTTTGGTACTAAAGGATTCTTTTACTAGAATTAATTCTTTCTTTTCAAAGAGACAAGACAGATGGTCCACACATGCCTCTCACAAGCTGTTCAGAGGAAGTCCAAGCTGGAGGTCAAATTGTCATTTTAACTTTTTTGTTTTTTGTATTAAAAAAAAAACCAACAATGTCAATGTTCAAGGGTCTGACTTTAACAAAACAAAGACAAAACAAACAACTTTCCCCTTTGTGATTAGCTATTGCATGGTGTTTACAGAATTGTGTGATGAAAGGGACCTTGCTTTCATACTTGTCTTTAAAGCATGTAGCACACTGATGGCTCTGTATAAATACATAAAAAATAATAACCAGCATATATATTCAAGCCTAAGAACAATGGGAAAAAGGGAGAGGCAGACCAAATTCTGAAATCCTTCCTTTTGTTATTTTAAGTCGGACCCTTGGTATTTTTTTTTTAGTATTACCATCTTGATCCAACTTCCAATGGATTTAGTGGAAACAATCCCACACTCGTTCTTCAATATAAGTTTGATCTGGTCCTACAGTTGTCGTTTTTTAATTCAAGGATTTCTGAGCATTTCTTTCTCTATTTCTTTTTAAAGTCTAACATCTAAAATACTGGTTTTCAATCTGTAGTCCATGGACCCTGAGGGTCTGCAGACTATGCCTAAGGGATCTGCAAAAGTTTGTCATTACCCATAGAACAGTGGTTTTCAACCTGTGGTCCAGGGACTTGTGGGGGTCCGTAGACTATGTCTAAGATTTCCAAGGGACCTGCACCTTTGTTTGAAATTTTTTAAATTAAAAAAGGTTGAAAGCCACTGATCTAAAAGCATACCAAGAAAACAAAACAAAAAAGGCAAACTCCTTCTTTAGCATTTTATCTGGTACACAGGTTCGGGTTTATATAGAACAATGGTCACCAACTGGTCGATCGTGATCGACTGGTCGATCCTGGAGACTCTCCAGGTTGATCGCAGTCTCTGGTGGTGCAGCGGGGCTGCTGCTAAGGCAGGCTCCCTGCCTGCTCTGGTCCCATGCTGCTCCCGTGGCTGGGGGGAGGGGGGAAAAGGAGGAGGCCAGGGGTCTCTGTGTGCTGCTCCTGTCTGCAAGCACCACCCCCGCAACTCCCATTGGCTGGGAACGGGAAACGGTGGCCAATTGGAGCTGAGGGAGTGGTGCCTGCAGAGAGGGGCGGTACACGGAGCCATGTGCCCCCCCAGTGGCCATAGAGGGACGTTGGCCCCTTCCGGGAGCAGCCTGGAGCTGGGGCAGGCAGGGAGCCTGCCTTAGCCCCCCACTATGCCGCCAACTGAGAGCTGCCCGAGGTAAGTGCTGCCCAGCGGAAGCCTGCACCCCAACCCCTCTCCCAGAGCCAGCACCCCATACCTCCTCCTGCACCCCCAAACCCCTGCCCAGCCCTGAGCCCCCTCCCAGAGCCAGAACCTCATACCCCCTCCTGTACCCCAACACTCTGCCCCATCCCAGAACCCCCTCCTGCACCCAAACTCCCTCCCAGAGCTTGCATCCCTCATCCCCTTCTGCACCCCAAACCCCTGCCCCATGCTCAGCCCGGAGCCCCCTCCCACACTGCAAACCCCTCAGCCCCAGCCCAGAGTCCGCACCCCCTCCCAAACCCCAATCCTCTGCCCCAGCCCAGTGAAAGTGAGTAAGGGTGGGGGAGAGCAAGTGACGGGGGGGGGGAAATGGAGTGAGCGAGGTGGGGTCTCGGGAAGGGGCGGGGTAGATCCTGGGTTGCTCTTAAATTCAAAAAGTGATCTTGGGTATAAAAAGGTTGGAGACCACTGTTATACAACATGAGCTGAATTAACTGTTATTTCCATGATAATAATATGATAAAACATTAAGATTGGGACTTTTAAGGGTTAAATCATGCAGAATGACAAAGTTAAGGCTACACATGCAATCTGGAACTCTGATCCCAATTTCTATGCACCTTACAGAGTCCCCAAATGGCCCTGTCCTGTGAATTTGCGGGAACATATCTGACTAGATTTTTCCACTGCACAGGTAAATTACCCACCCATACATGTCCTTTTATATACACCTTTGTTTTTTAAAGAAGGAGTGCACTGCTAATTAACGAGGGCTACTCCTAAACCAAATGACACCCTCTAGTCCCCCAGCATTTTCAACTGAACAGCATCTTAAAACAAGAAAATGCTGCACAAATTTTGGATAACAGAAACAGAGTTTCCCTTCCACCCAGTTTTCGACTGGAATGCCCAGTCAAAAAGGGAACCTGGCAGCTCCAGTCAGCACCGCTTACCGGGCCCTTAAAAATCTGGTAGGCGTGGCTGGCTTCCTATTTGGCAGGCTTCCTACCTGGCTCCGCATGGCTCCCCGGAAGTGGTGACATGTCCCTTGGCTCCCAGGTGGAGAAAGGGCCACAGGGGTCTGTGCACTGCCCCCGCCCCACCCTGAGCACCAGCTCCACACCTCCCCTTCGTCAGGAACCGTGGCTGATGGGAATTGCAGGGGCAGCGCCTGAGGGCAGAGGCAGCAGGCAGAGTCGCCTGGCCGGGCCTCCACTTAGGAGCCAAGGGTCATGTCGCCGCTTGCAGGTAGCTACCCGAGGTGAGCGCCATCTGGAGCTCACACCCCGAAACCCTTCCTCCAACCCAACTCCCTGTCTCAGCCCTGAGCCCCCTCCCACACCCAAACTCCCTCCCAGAGCCCACACCACGTACCCACTCCCACGCCCTAAACCCCTGCCCCAGCCCACAGCCCCCTCCCGCACTCTGAACCCCTCAGCCCCAGCCTGGAGTCCCCTCCTGCAACCCAAA